TTCAATTGATTTAGTGGAATTCATCATAAACTGGATCAAATTGCACTTTTGTACATACATATGTATGAAATGTATAGCTTTGTTATCAAATATATGGAGAATATCCATAGCGGTTTGCGCATTGTAAATATGCGAATCTGTAAGCGTACATTGAAATTAGCATCACTTTTCTCATTTAACAATGAAAATGCTCAATTGAAAATCCGCTAATAATATTTTTAATATCCACTAATAGAAAACTCAACAACTCAAAAAAGAGGAACGCTTTGACAATCGGCACACCCTGAACCTTCTCTATATTATACGTTCTCTGCTTGAGCTTTAGTTTTCATTTCATCATTTTCTCACTTTTATCACCTTATCAAATACTGCTTTTGTACATACTTTTATCCAGGCACATTATATCGATATAAACTTTAACGCCTATAGATTTTTGAATTGTGGTGTTTAGAAAATGTGTGAAATAATATTACTTATCACAGAAACAAACTTAATAATTCATCAGTATCTACCAGAGACCTGCACGATTAAGGTAGGCATCGTACGATTACGTTACTAAGTAACAACAACAGCGAAGGTAACACTGCGCACCATCAATATTGAACACTTCTTTCGCCGTAGTTGCCAGAGAGCACAGCTCTCAAATAGTAACGCTATGTCAACCTCCAATTCTCTTGATATACCTACACATTCTTTAGTCAACAAATCACTGGAAAACTCACCTCAAAACATCAGCAATCAACAAGTCAGCAATAGCTCAGCCTCCTCTTTCACTCCTGTTCCACAGTCTTTCACACACACACAACTAAACCTCGAATCAACTCTCGCCAACATTATCGCTCAATCCAACTCCTATCAATATAACGCAGGTTCACCTGCATTCTCAACAGAGAAAACTGATACCTCTGCAAAGCAATTTAGATGACAAAGCCATCAACGATGCTCTGATCATGTCAGTAGACGACGGCCACTAAGTATCCATCACTCTCAACATAGCATATAAACACCTCCTTAGCAACCTTTTCCAGCAACAATGTTTAATATCCTACAGTGGAATATGCACGGATACTACAACAACTTTCACGAATTGGATATACTAATTAAAGAATACGCTTCAAGTTTTATTCACCTTCAGGAAACTAACCTTGCTGGGGGCAAGTCCGCGGCGGCGCCTAATCAATGCCATAGTTATTTTTACAACTTCTTAACAATGATAACAAACCAAATCTTTTCCACACACAAAACATTCACCACTATGGACCTTACAATCAGTTCCTCTAACATTGCACCTAAATTAACGACAAACACCCTTTCCCATCTGCATGGCAGTGATCATTACCCTATGCTTACATCCCTTTCCACTACTTTCACTTCTAAAAGCCCACAGGAGCAAAGGTTTATTATAGGAAAAGCTAACTGGGACATGTTTGGAACGACTGCTTCCAGACTTTGCGCGGGCCGTCCTTGCACTCCCAATATCAGCAACGAAGTTGCCACAATTACAAAAATCATTTGCATATCAGCCCATCTGTCTATTCCACAAACCAATCCCAAAGTTCAKAAAAAGATCGCGCCCCACTGGTCCTCTGAACTATCCCAATTACGAAACGAAAAAAGATTTCTTTGGACGGAATATAAGCGAACAAGGTCAAATTCAGATTTAATTTTATACAGAAAGGCAAATGCGATCTTTAAGAAAAAACTCAAACAATCTAAAAGAGAGTGCTTAAACAAATTCTCCGAGTCCATTAACCATCAAACAAATCCAAAAAGAACATGGTCCGATATTAAACGACTTTCTGCCACTAATCCCCAATCGCATATTACTTCAATTAATAGCGCACATGACCYTATCGTTGACCACAAGCAAATAGCAAATCACTTCGCAAAGTACTGGTCCAATTATTCACACGATTCAAATTTCCACCCTACTTTCCTTTCAGAGAAGACAGTAGTTCCAAGAGTCCCCCTGCAACTTCTAGCATAACCGACTGCAAGATCAATAACATTGAATTCGAATCAACTCTATCTTCTTTAAGTGGGAGAACCCCCGGGGCTGACAGAATATCATATCCTATGTTGCAACACTTACCCCCATGTATGAAGACAAGATTGTTAATGCTATATAACAACATATTAAGCCAAGGTACGTTTCCTCTGGCTTGGAAGCACGCAGTCGTTGTCCCCATTCCAAAATCTGGCAACCCTACTACAGAAATTTCCGGCTTTAGGCCTATTTTTTTTACTGAATTTCCTGAGAAAACTACTCGAAAAACATTATAGCCAGACGTATTTCGTGGCATGCCTTAACCAAAGGACGGGCAAAGCACCATTGATGCTTTGCTGCTCTTTGAAAATCATACATCTTCAGCCTTAGCAAACAGGAACCACCTCTCTGCACTTAGCATTGACTTCGAAAAGGCCTTCGATTGGGTTGGAGTCCACGTTGTACTACGGCAACTCGAAAAATGGGTCGAAAAAGACTCATTCAGTCATTCCTCACAAACCGAATATTCGTCTGTAAAGTCAACAACACATTGTCAAACCCGTTTACTCTCCATAACGGAATACCCCAGCGGTTTCCCCCCTCTGTATTTTCAGTAAACTGAATGATTTAAATGTTGTTAAACGAGACTTCACAAATATTCTAATGGATCTAAATATATGGTCCGAATCTTCGAGCGCCAATGTGGCTGTAAATAAATGCAAAAATTTCCACATTTGTCGCAAGCACAAATGTGATTACTTTACAATTATTTACAATAACAGCCYTATCTCAAACACTAATAGTCTTAAGTTCTTAGGTGTAATTTTTTGATAAGAAACTTAGCCTTAAAGAACATTGCTTCTACTTAAGAAAGCAACTGGCTGCAAGCCTGAATATTATCAAATATTTGTCATCTAAACATTGTTTAATCAACTCTGCAACTCTAATAAATGTAACGAGGGTGCTTGTGTTGTCGAAGATAGATTACGGCCTTCCTATCTGTGGTAATTGCGCGAAAATCCACATCAAAAAACTGTATTCTCCGTACCACATGGCAGTAAGCAGAAGCATACGCGCATTTCCAAAATCGCCCACCAAATTCGTCCTAGTGGAAGCCGGCTTACCCACAATCGAAGAGAGATTCGAACTGAACCTAATGAAACTTATACCTAAGCTTTTTATATGTTACAACAGTACTCTTTACAAAACAGTAAAATCGGACCCTGGACGCAAATCGACAATTTCACTGTGTATAGAACTCGCCAGAAAGCTTGGAATCACCGAGCCATCACTGCGGCAGAGAGAAGTATTTCCTACCTGGCAGATATAATATACATCGTTCATTTTAAGCTTGGAGAAATTCAACAAAAGTCACACCAACCCCGCCGTTTATCAACAACTCTTTGCTGAGTCTACAACTTCTCTTCTCCCTGAACGGACTCTAATCTTCACGGACGGATCCAAAACCGAGACAAATACATCATTCGCAGTTGTCGACGACAAAGGAGTAACAATTAAAGTTGGAATCCTGCCAAGCTATGCCTCCGTTTACACAGCAGAAGCCGCAGCGATCCTCAACGCTATCATTTTCGCTTCAAATTCCAAATTGAAAGCAATTATTTGTACGGATAGCAAATCAACTATATTAGCGGTCTTAAATGTTATGAATAAATCTAACATCATTTCTTGCATCCGGAGCAAATTAGCTGAAAACTGCGCCAATATAAAACTAATGTGGATTCCAGGCCATGTCGGCATACGCGGGAATGAACTGGCGGATAAACGCGCTAAACTAGCGGCTAGTGAACCGCTCGTTACGTTTGACTTTCTTGAGAATAAAGACTTATATCAGATGCCATACCAACACCAACTTAAATCGCTAATGGAGAGTTGGAGACACATCCAGCACCAATACACTTTAAATAACHCAGATAGGAGCAAACCAACCTATCCACCAAACAGTCGATGTAACGATGTTAAATCATTTGTCCGCCTACGTTTAGGGCACACAATAGCCACACATTCGTACTTCTTCAATCAGTCCAGTCCGCCTTACTGCCAACATTGCCCGGGGGCTTCACTAACAGTCCATCACCTGCTCGACGAATGCGACCATTTCACAGTAATCAGGAGGACTATCTAATTTTATTGTAATCCATTCACGATTTCATTTAAAATTTAATATTATTTAATATTTCGCAATAAGCATGTCTATTCTGAAGCCAAATTTGTCTGGTATTTTCTTGATAGCAAGGAAGGCGAATACCGCTCGAAATAATAATATAACATCGAAATAATAATAAAATATTGTCAAAGCAATTGAACTGGCTGGCATTATTGCATAGCTCGCCATTATGTCATATAAGAGAGCATTGCAAGAGAGTAGGACATTTTTATATTTTGCTAAATTTATTTACTCTTTTACTGCAGTCGCTTGAGCGTTGTAAATTCCCAATTGTTAAGGTGTTTGAGAGAGTTGTTTTTTTTCTTCATTATAGTTTGTGGCGTTTTTCTGATTTTCATTAAATTTTTCGTTTCATAGCTGTGCTGCTGCTCCTATGTTCAGTCTGAAGAGAATTATCGACACGACAAGTGGTGAATTGTAATTCCATTCGACTGTGGTGAAGTGTTGGTAGGGCCGAAAATAATTAATTTTTACAATATATTTTGTAAAAAATGTCGATAAAAGTTTAAATACATATAAATAAACGTGTTGGCACAAAATAAACCTAATAAACTAAAATAAGTTGACATCACAATAATTTGTATTTGATATTTATTTAAAAGTGTATTGAAATTGTGTTAACAGTATTCAAATTTTAAATTCAGTGAAAAACTTCCCAGGCAGCAACTGCAAAGTATTTTTAGCTTAGACGGATGTCGGTTTGCTATTGTGAAAGCGTGCTCTTAAAAGTTCGGGCAAGTTCGGCAATCTTCATTGACGCTAATTTTAACATCACGAATTCTATACATTTGCCTACAAAATAAATACATACAAACCCACCTACAAACATTTGCTCATATGTATGTATTTCAACATACATCTGCATATCGTCACCTGAAATGCAAAATAACGTATCATCAAAAAATTCTAAATTGAGTGTCTTATTGATTACGCTTCACTACTGCAAATTACATACATAATATTACAAATGTTCAATATTTTCAGGTTCTGCACTCAGATATAAACCAGTTTTAACCATTATTAAATTTTTTTTTTTTCACTCATGTTCCATTCAATTTCGTCTTTCATTCATACCACTGAAAATTTCCGAAAATGTTGTTACCTTATTTTGCATTTCAGGTGACGATATGTACTATATTATAAAGATTGATGGGAATAGGCATATGTATACCAAAAAAATCCATTAAACAATTCACAAAACAGAAATCAGTGTTTTGAAGTATAGCTACAGACATACATATAACTTGTTAAACTAATAATTAGTACAAATTACAAGATCCTGAACCAATAAATTTATTGTAAATTAGGATAACAGTGAAGTGTGAATATTGTTACATATATACATATGTGTATACATATAATCCATTGAGTAAAAAATACAAAAATAACCATGTGGTGTTCTAAAACAGTATAAGTATTACTACATCCGTTGTAATGCCGGCAGTTTGAGTATGATGTACTCTTACAAATAAAAAATAATAACATTATAAATGATGCAGATATGTATTTAACTACTTACAAAGAGTTGGGATATATGCAAATAAAATTATCCATACTAAACATGAAAAGTGTTTTCGTATTATCGAATGTTATTGTGGACCACTGCCCAAAGGGGATATAGTGCTATTTTTATATTTACCTAGTCTGATTAAGAGGTGTATTCAAAAACTAACGGGAATTTTTGTTTTCTGATAAAAAAAAATTGTTCATTCGTTTACATTAATGATGTTGCCTTCAAAATAGTCCCTTTTCGATGTTATATACTTATGCCAGTGGTTCTTCTAATCGTCGAAACACTTCTTAAACTCGTTTGTTGGGATCCGAACAAAAATCGGCAATTTCATAAAAGCATGTCTCACATTAGAGGCTGCTAGAGATAAAGAAGCTGAAGCTAACATTTTTTTAAATAAGTGTAAAAATTTATGATTTTATGATTTTTGCATTGCGGCAAGTTGTGAGTTACCCAAATAAAAAAGTTTGACAATTGGACTCTTCAAAATCACGAAATTTTAATTTTAAAATTCCCATTATTTTTTGTAAACACCTCCACATGACATATTGGGTTGTCAAATATCTCCCTTCCGCCTTTTTGTTTTTTTAGCTACTCCCTTCCGCTTTGCCGTAGGATGCCGTAGACTTCCACGGCATTTGGATTTTTCCGGTAGAAACGTGTCAGCTGATTGCTCTCTCACAATGCAGGGTTGCCAATCTCGATATACTGCAGTAATTATAAAAATTGTCTTCAATATATTTGAAATTTTCTTAAAATAACTCAAAGTCAGAGTCGGATGCTATTATTTATAAATACATAAACTATTTTTTATAGTTTGTTTTCAGTTTTGATATTTTATATTATAAAAAATTTTAATAGAAAACTTTGATGTGCTCAAAACTATATATGCGTATTGAGCAATGGCAACATTGTTCAAATTAAAGCAAACAAAGATGGCTGATTTCTGCGATTGTACCACGGGCTCAACTTTTAACACATTTTGCTCGCTAAAGAAGGCAAAGGAAGGAATGAATTAGCGTTTTTGGCTGTTCCTGTTATGAAGCGTTACAGAGCTCGTATCTGGCAATACTATATATCTTTGAAAGGTCTAGACATAACCTACAAAACGACGCTATGCATGATTAGTTTGGATATTGTGTTGAATAGACAATATAGACGTGTAAACAAAGATCTCACTAACGCCGAAATTCGCGCTATATTGAAGTTTTCCTTCGTTAAAGGCAAATCCGTTAGAGAAACGTTCGTGATATTAATGGCGGTTTGGGGAAGTGTACTCTATCACTTCGAACTGCGCAGCAATGGCTCCGACGATTCAGAGTGGGTACACAAAAAAAGATTGATGTTTGGGTGCCGCATGATATGACGCAAAAAAAAAAACCTGTCCGGTTCCAAATAGTGACCAGGCCGGGATTGAGAGCCAGGAAGGTTTTGCTGTGTGTTTGGTAGGATTGGAAGGGAATGCACTATGAGCTGCTCCCATATGGTCAGAGGCTTAATTCTACCATCTACTAAAGCGAACGACTAAAGCGCTTGAAGCGGGCCATCTACCAAAAGCGTCCAGAATTGGCCAACAGGAAGGGTGTACTGTTCCACCAGAATAACGTCAGACCACACACTTTGTTGATGACTCGTCAGAAGCTACGGGAGCTCTGATGGGAGGTTTTATCGCATCCACCATATAAGCCGAATATAGCACCAAGTGATTACCACCGGTTCCTGTCCATGGTGAACGCTCTTATTAGTGTAAAGTTGAAGTCAAACGAGGCTTGTGAAAAGTGGCTGTCCCAGCCTGAAGTTGCCGTCTAGATGGAAACAGATTAACGAACGAAACGGCGCAGATTTGAACTAAGTTCGATCACCTTTTATAAAACATTGAATAAAGAGCAAAAAGGCGGAAGGGAGATATTTGGCAACCTTACATATCAAAATAGTATTCCACCCTAATAGTTATTTGGGTAAATTTCAGAAAAGCATGACCCTGTTTCGGGGTTTAAATTGGAGTGGACAGATTTTGGGGAACTTAGAGATAATCCAGATTTAGAATGTTTGTGTAAAACTGGGTTTTGAGTGATGCGTATCTAAAGTTCATAAATTTAATAGTTTTAGATGTGCAGTTCTTTATACAATTTTGCGATTCTAAGAACATCGATACATCGATGTTGCCTGGATGTTTTATGTCGATGTTTTTTCAAATTGTACTCCACATCTTTGCAACACTTTTTCTCAGTATAAATGCAAAACATCTGCTTCGAAACGCTTTAGCAAACTGTCATGTGTTTTGTTGTAAAATACGGAGAATTTGTTGGTTGAATGTGCACTTGAATAATAGTGAGAATTCGCTTATGAACGAATGCGAAATAAGTTTTACAAAAAATTTAAAATACATTTCTTTCGAATTCATCTGTTGTCAATCACAACTTTATTACAGGTGTAGTGAATATAAAATATTTGTAAATAATTGCGTTTAGACGTTTAAATATGTACATAATATTTCAGATTTTCAAAATGCTGAATTCAAAATTATAAAGCAAAGTCGGAGCTTCTTTATAAGAAATTCAGATGCTTCCGTCACATGCAAACATGCGAGAAGAAATTAAGAACATCAGCTAACACGTCGAATCTTCGCTGTCACGTTGTGAATGTACATAGAAAGGTTGATAATGCAGAATGCTCCTCCAAAGCTACGCCGCACTCGGAACCAAAACAGCGAAAAATTTCTGAAATAATTAACATATCCCCAACCGCTGGGACGATAACGTCGAGTGAGGTATCCGACAATAGTAATAAGAAGACTGCATGTATTGAATCGTCTTCTAGTACATGTACTCCGTCACTACTGCAAAATAAATCCGATCAGTTGCCAGCGCTGATTTAACCTAATGAGAAAAACTTTTTTGAGCAAGTCAAAAGTATTTCTTACCAAGATGGCCCTAAATCAAGGAAAATAACTGAGGCAATTGTGAAATATATTATAGTGGACAACAAGCCATTTTCCACTGTAGAAGGAAAAGTTGTCTGCCTATGATGAAAGGACTGGTTCCGCTTTTTAAAGTTCCAAGTAGAGAAACAATAAAATTACGAGTGGATGAAAAATATGAAGCGCTGTCTTCAATTTTCAAAGAGTATACTCATAAGTGCGACAGTTATTGAATAACGTTGGGGTAAGAATTCATTTTTTGGACAATTTACGTTTGTTGAGTAGGACGTTAGGAGTAATCGAACTGCACGAACGTCATACAGCATCTTATTTAGAAGAAACTATGTTTAAACTTTTCAACGAGTGGAACGTTTCCATAAATAAAGTTTCTGCTTGTGTAACTGATAACGATTCAACCATGATGAAATTAAATAGAAGCTTGTTTGGCGAAAAAAAATAATACCCTGCTTCGCACACACGTTTAATTTGGTTGTAACGCAATTAATAGATAAGTCCACGGAAGTATCAGCTTTGATAACTTTGTTAAGTTTATTAAAAGAAGTGTTAATACCAGTGTTAAATTACGAAGGAAACAAACAGATACCGTTGCTTCTACAAGTAGTATCAAGATTCTTGACGTAAGATCGCGATGGAATTCATGTTTTTATATGGTAGAGAGATTTGTCCAGTTAGCCGCTATTTTAAATGAAGTACTGCTCACTCGCCCATAAGCTCCCTCTATGCTTAATGCCTCCGAGCAGAACAAAATTAAGGAGATGATTGAATTAGTAAAGTGTTTTGAAATTGTGACGAGGGAGATTTCGGCTGATACCTATGTTACTATTAGCAAGGTTAGACCTTTAGTAAGCTGCATAACTGAAGCTCTGACAAAAAATTCAGTTCAAGACGCTATTGTAGGGGAGCTAAAAAGTGAACTGCAAAAGAACATGAATAAGAGATTTGACAAACTTGAATTTAATTCAGTTCTGGACTTGGCTATTGTATTGAATCCGAGAT